AAATTTCCCATCATTTCACGCAGAGATCCACGAAAGAAACTAATGTTCTGAAGTCCATTTTGTTTTGCCACCACCTGTGCTGCATCAACGATGGCTGAGTGATCAATCGCCACAACAGCCGATGCTAGATTACGTGCTGCCATCAACGATATCAGTCCCATTCCACACCCAATGTGAAGCAACGACTTCCCCTTGATGCCCTTCAAGACAGACTGATATGCGCGTAGGCGAATTCGATCGCTAATGCTATATAAATTGCTTGAAATGCGTGCGGCGGGATCCCCGTAGAGGCTCTTCGACGTCGCATTCTTTTCTCCCTCGGTGGCAAGAAGCGACTCATTCGCAACGGTCCGTGTGAGTGGTGAACAAGCTCCATTGGCCACATTTTTTGTGTTAAAAACTTTTTTCTTCCTTTGTTGGCCCTGACCCAACTCGTACGGCGGCGGATTCTTCCTGGAAGGCATGTTTTTCTTCTGTTGCTTACTTGGATTCTCGTAATAAAACAAATTGACGGTTTTTTTTTTTTTTCTTCTTCTTCTTATTTAGTTTCGTTTTGTTTCTTGCGTGCGTGCGAGCGTGAGCCGATGGGGAGGGTCCTTTATACTTTCACCTCAAGAGAACACAACGGGAATGAGACTCAAAAAGTAAGAAAAATAAATAAATAAATAAATAAAATAAAATGGAATGCGGGTCGCATGATTGTCGCAAACACAAATCAAAACAAAACATGTGCATATTGCATGCATGCATTTGTGTAATACTCTCTCCCCGCAGCGACCCGATAAAAGATATTCAAGTAATTCTCCTTCACCCAATACAATTTCATGATGGCCCCACAGGGCCTTCAATGTTGGTGCTTATTTGGGAGATAACTTTCTTGCAGCATTTCTTGCGGACACTTAAAGCGTGAGTCGCATCACTCTCTTCGCACGACGACATCAATGACGGTGAGAATCGCACAAAACATTCTCCGCAACAGGGACACGCCGCCTGGCCAAAAAGAAGTCTCGCACGCCTCTGAAGCACTCACCAAAGTTGCGAGTCACATGAATGGAGGGCTGCATCCACGACGCAATACGGCGTCGTATATCGGGCCGTTCCCCGTAACGTGCATCAAAAAGAATAGCAACGGCGTAATCATCCGCGTGACGAATGCAGCGACCCATGCTCTGGTTCACAGTGCGTATGCAGAGATCTGTGAAGAGGCTCCACTCTGCAGAGGAATTAAATGGAACAGATCCGTCAATCTTAACGGTATCCACAGCCAACGTCTTGGATGCCGCAAAGCCCGCATTTCTCAGCAGACGTGTATTGGCGATGTGGCTTAGATACAATTGCAGCTCAACATCACTTGGATTGGCGTACGGCAGTCCCACAACAATCACAGCGCGGCCAAGTTCATCGTTAAAATTAATGCCCTCTGAAAGCTTCCCGCCCATGACGGCAAATAAAAGTGCCCCTCCCGAACCCTCCGTGCCAATCCATCGGGTGTATTCCGCCAGCATAACATCCACAGCATGGGACAATGACTTCCCTTCAACACCGCTCTTAGTAGCGACTTTCGAAGAGGCCAAACGACCCGACTCACGGAAAATACGTTTCACCTCGTTAATTTTATCATAAAACCCGCTCCTTTGTAAGAATCCATAAAAGAGTTCTTCAACATCATACGAGGCAAAAAAAACAATTACCCCATCGGGTATGACACGGCAGAAATTCAGTAAAGCGGCGGCAATTTCTTCAAACTGACGATTCCACTGATGACGCGTCGCATGTTGAAGCTCCACACGATGCCCACTTGGACCAGAACCCAACGTAAACACCGCAATGGAGGACGACGGTACAATATGGCCTTCCTCGATAAAACAGACTTTCTTCTCCGTCAAGGACTGTCCCGGTTTTTTCTCCAAGTTCATCATGCTGTTCTTTTCCTCTGTGGGGACTGAAGGAGCAACATGTGGGTTGGGAGGTCGTAATAGCAAGTCACATGTCAGGGCAATTGGCTTCATGGTGCCACCAGCCAGCACAGCTGCCTGCACTTGCCGTAACAAGGGGAAAAACGTATGTGTTCCAGGTTCCAATTGCAGCAATTGAAGTAAAACCGCCTCGTTTGACTCGCTTTCCTTCTCCACCGGTACTCGACGCAACACGACGCGTGTATGCTCATCAGAGCGGCTGTACCATCGCAAAAAAGCATCAAATCGGTACAATGCACTCGTCACGGACTTGGAGTCATGCTCAAAGGCCAAAAGAGGCAAATTATTTGATCCATCACGGAAGGTTTCACTCCCTGCGGAATGACTGATTCCACCGTTCTGCTTAATTGGCCCTAATGGAATTGGTACATGCTGTTTCTGCTCTGCATGCTCCTTTTTCTGCATGGACAGAAATGCCACAAAGCCGTGCAGTTTCGTTAAAAGACGAGTCTCATTCAAAAAAGCCAAAAAGCGATAAACATTTACGTTGTCCACATGAGCATCAAAAACAAAAGAAGAAAAATTCCACACCTCTGCTGCCACTGAAGTTGTTTGCGTCACGGACTTCATATGGAGGTACCTTAATAATTTATCGACAAACAGCACCATCTCGCGAATACGTTGTTTATTGCGTGTGAGAAGCCTCTTCTCGTAGCGGGTGTAGTACGCATCCAGTAGTCGACGCACCAGCGACAATTCCGGTTCCGATACCGTGCTGGACGTGGCACTGCGGCAGAAGTCCACGAGATTGTGTGCCTCATCCACAGCAATCACATCACCAGTGAAATTGGGAGGTAAAACGGACCCCCTCCTCAGTGTCATATCATTGTGCACGTGTGACGCAGCCGCGTTCCCATCGAGGCCCTGATCGGTCGTTACTTCCTCCATATTGGCCACCGTTTCACACTCATTCGTTGCTGTTCCCGAGAGCAACGCGTGCCGCATCTCGGGCGACACCAGATAACTGTAGGGAATCAGAACAACGTCTGCCCCACGAAGCAGTTCGCGGGTCGCGAGAAAAGGGCAAGCACCAACTCTCTGTCCAATTTCCCGCATCTCTGAAATTCCCCGGGGTGAAATATCGACGTAGTCCCTTAGAATCTTCAACCGCTCTCTCCGGCAGTAGCCACATCCCTTCGGCACTTCGCCCAACGGAACATTCTCTTCAATGTCTGGGAGAGAAGAGCTCTTATTTCTAATTTCATGCTCTTTACGCGCTTCACGGCCCTCTTTGGAGTATTCATATTTCATTGCTTCCAGACACAGCTCGTTCAAGCGCTCGTTGTTGTTTCCTGCTGCATTCGTTAAAAGGGAATTTATGCAAAGCTGCTGTCGCCCAGCAACATGAACGTATCGGAGCATGTGCGGTGCCTCATCCAAAGCAGGTTCCAACGGCTCCTCCATTTGCTCACTACCAATGGCAACATGCTGTCGACGACGAGGACGCACAGGGTACTTTGCAAATACGGTGCGACGGAGTTCCTCGGTGAGTTGTTGGAGCTGCGTGTGGGTGCGACTAGAAAAGTATACTTTCGGTTTTTGCAGCGTCAACAAGAAAGGCTCCCACTCAGCAGCATTCTCTTCCTCCTCCTTAACACTTCCTATAGATGAAGAACTTGACGAAAGACATGTTGATGCGCCACCAATTATTTTGTGCTGACGCTGTCGTTCACAGGCCTCCTCATATGTGTTCTGCTCCAACAAGAACGCATCTTCGTCGGCCCCTTTAGTAACGTCCTTCATTTGTTGATTGACGCTTGTCGTTTGCCTCCGCCGCCTTTTGTGACCGCGTCCAACCACTTCCGCTGAGGGAGGCGGTGGCGCTGCGTTTTCCAGAGACGGTAAACTCCGCTTCTGTAGCGATGCTGTGTCCTCTCCTTCAGTGTTCAGGACGGGTTCAAACACATGCGAGAGCACACTGTTGAGAAGAACTTGTGTCTTGCCTGTCCCTGTGGGTGATTCAAGTACAACGACGTCCCCTGCCGCCAAGCCGTCCCGAATAGCCCCCATCGCATGCAGCTGCAGGGGGTACGGCTGAAAGGGGAAAGGCACACGAAATGAACCGGCATCATACATCACCTCACTTCAAACACATCGTGGCGGGGGATCACCATACAAATAGAGATATCATTCAGGATAACGAGAGAGAGAAAGAGAGAGAGAGAAGGTGAATAAAAAGGGGGAAACAACAACAAAATACATATAAAGAGAAAGAAAGCAAAAAAGCAAGAAAAAAAAAAACACAACCTAAATATAAAACGTCAATTTGTAATGAGAAGCCGTTGTTTAGTCCATCTAAAACAGAGCAAAAAAAAAAAAAAAAAAAAAAAAAACTGGCATCATAATAAGTCAGAGGGCCTTTACGCATCGTTTATGGCATCCTTCCGTGTGAGTGTGTGTGGGGTCAACAATCCTTTGGAAGTAAAACAACAACAATAGCAACAAAGTAATAATAATAATAATAATAATACATGCAACAAACAACAACAAATTCCTCGGTTACTCATCGCGTTCGTGTGACTTTGTTGTTGTTTGACACTAAAAAAACAACAAAAAAACAAAAAGAAAATGCCACAGTTCAATGATATTACAAATAAAATACGACATACATACACACAATAAATAAATAAATTCTCCGAGTAAAAGCCAACAAACAAACAAAAAAAACAAAAAAAAAAGTGTGAAAAAAAGAGAACAACAAGCCCCAGAATGAGGCCGAAGAAACATATAAAAAGCAGTACGTACCCATATCCGTATTACCCTGTAACTTGTAGTGTCCACAGAAAGAAATATACATAGACCCTCCCCCTTTTTTTTTTTTCTTTTTCTTTTTCTTTCCCATTCTTCTTTCTTGATCCTCTTCAGGAATTATAAAAAAAAAAAAAAAAAGAAAAAGAGGGAAAAAGACAAAAACCGAAAGTAATAATAATAATAATAAAGCAAACAACACAGACAGAAAAATACACAAAAAAATAAATAAATAAATAAATAAAAATAAACAAGAGCTGAAACACAAGGAGCATCTCAAGTTAACGCCTCTTTCCCGGGATTCCAGTTTCCAGCCGTGTAGGCAGGGAAGATGCCTGTTCGATCCTTTACGTGACGGTAATTCCATGGGGACTCGGAACGCATTTCATCTGAGTCCCTGTCGTGGTCGTATTGATGGAGTTGACTTGAATACGTGTTGTTGAATATTACCCCGCTAATGGGTGACAACTTGTCATATTCACAAGGAATTGGTCGAGCGCGATTGTTTCCGTCAACCGTCATAGCCAAAATCAATACATTATCTGCCTTAATGGTGCCTTTTGCATTCACCCCAGGGAAATCTACCAAAACAACACATCGGCTATCGACAAAACTCGTCACCATGTTCATGAGTGGTTGATGGTACAAAATGTACTGCTTTTGTTTTCGTGGTGGTATTAAAGGAAGGAAGGTGTAGCGATTAAAATCAACTGAATCGTTCTCGTGCGGCTCAAGGGAGGAGTACGGAAAAAAAAGTGGCGGCCGAATAGAAGCCACAAACGAACGTTCCTCACCGGGATGAATAATCTCTGAAAATATGAATGGTTCTCCGAGATTCACACGACGAACGCACTTGACATCCTGCACCCTCATTTCAACAACATTTTTAATTTGCACACGCACAGTCTTCAAAACGGCTTGAGTGTCGTTAAAAACCCTGACGTCAACTCGTATTTCGCCATTATCGCCATAGGAATTTGCCAACCCCACGCAATCTTCCATGAGAACCACGGTGGGGCTAATAGCCACCTCCGTGAGGACAAATCTCCCCTGGCGGGCGCATAAGAAACGTTCCATGACGTGGTATTGGGGCAGCTCCGCATACGAGACCAGTGCTGCCTTCATTCTTCCCTCCATCCATTGCCGCCGCTGCATCTCGGGAATGGCAGAAAGGACATAGAATTTGCGAATACATTTTACATCAAAACCACTAGTAATATCAACAGAAACCTTTGCTGTGTATGTCGTGCGCACCTCCGAGACACCACGAGAATCTCGCACGTCAAAACTGGGAGGCAAAAAGACTGGTAAAATCAACTCAAACATGTGTGTGTATGTCCCTGGAAGCAACACATCGGCCTTACGCATATCCGCCTCCACATCATCGTCCGAGTCAGGAAAAAGAAGTGGAGGAGAATCTAACGCGCCATTATTATTAGATACATCCCTGGCAAGTGTGTACATTCTGTCGTAGTGGATGTGTGTGTCTTGTCGTACCACGCCGCCGCAGTGGACTTTGGCATACTCCTCGCCCCGGATGTTTAAACGGACGCCCCGACACAAAACCTTCTTCCTCACAAACACCTTCACAACTCCAGAGAGAGTACTCCCAGGGATGTAAGCTGCCCCACCCCCGTGCAAAGTGAGTTCAACCTCCACCCTGTCCCTGTTGAAGACACCCATCTCACAGCGTGAACAGCTTTGGATGGCATACGCGCATAAAAAGGGAAAGAGGGAACAGAAACAACAACAACAACAAAAAAAAAAGAATACAAGGCCAAAAACACGTCTTACACGGAGCACACAGAATGTGGCACTCAACATCACAGGACACCTCAAAAGCTCTACTCTCCTCCTCTTACCCCCCTTCTTCTTCTCCGTTGTTTTTTTTTTATGTTTTTTTAGTACACACAAGGGCGTTTATACGCATAACGTTATAAATAAGGAGTTTAACTGTGGCAGTTGTTCCCCAACACACACACACACACACACACGCAGGAATGCAGTGTGACAATTGCCACCTTATCCTTCATCAGTGCTTCTTTGACCCACCGTTGCTCTTGTTACCGTCTTCCTTCTTTGCACGTGTCTTACGGATCGGTTCCTCACCGTTTTCAATCGCCTCCACGACACGTTTTCGCCCGTTCCTGACTTTCTCCTCACGACCCACACGCAGCCGATCTGCGTCCATCAACACTGCTGCATTCCTTGCTGCCGTTTTAAACGTCTGGCCGTATTCTTCACGTGAGCGCTGGAGTTGCTTCCCCATTTTACTCCGCAAGTCAACACCGTCAATATGGCATTCCTTAACCCCCTCAGGAACTTTTTTGCGAGCAGAATTTGCATTGTCCCGCGTGGCGAGCAGGACCTCGTTAATCGGCCCTATGGGCGTGTTGTCATCATTCAGCAGCCAATAAACGCCATCCATCGACGGTGCGGCACTGATAAGATGCCAACTTTTCGTCTCATGCTCCCCGTCGCTACGTTGATTGGAGACGACACAAATCCGTTGCTCCTCCACGGACAGTTGAAGCATGTCGGCTGGGACATTCGGGGCATCACAATTCACAAACTTCACCAGCTTCATTGTCCTTGATGGTACACGCTACAATATTATTATTATTTTCGCCCCCTTGCCCTTTCGGAGCCACACGCTCTCTCCCCTTTTTGTCTTCCCTTCCTCTCGGGTATTCTCCCCTCACGCACGCTGTGGGAAGCAAAAACTTCTCCCCGTTGCCGTGCATTCACACACACAAAAAAAAACAGGGAAATTATGGACGGAGGCATCTAAACAGGTGCAAAAAACGCTCATTACAGTCATCACTGGACATCATTCCTTCCAGAATAGCAGCAGAAAAACGCAACTTCCTTTTTTTTTCATCAAGAACGTCCCACAACACCGCCACGTTGTGTTGGGAAGAGGTGTAATAAATAGTCTTCACCGTCTCTTTGTCTTCGTCTCAGGTTGGCGGATGAAAAAAAACAACGCAAACGTCGCCCACATTTTCCCATTTCTTAAAAAGAAGTAAAAACAAAAAGAAAAATTGGCAGCAGTGCCACACACTGGCATGCAAACGGGCGACACAGTTACAGACACATGAACGGAGATCGGACAACATGGACCGAAACAAAGAAATACGCCGGCGGGGTTATTTCTGGTCACGCCGTGCATCATTTTCTTGGTTTTGTTTAATGAAAGGAGCAAAAAAAAAAAAAAAAAAAGGAAATGACGCATGTCGTCCAGCGTAGGAAACACAGAAAACGAAAACAAAAACAAAGTCCGTGGCATTTCAGTGTTTTGATTCCATTAATTTTCCTTCGAGTGCGCCGTGTACCCAAAATGCCACGCACACATTCATTCATCAACGTCGCACTGCCGCCAATTCCATGACGGCAGAGGAACAGGCCGCCAAGAAAGCGCACGTCGCCCGCCGACGACAGCCCGATGGGAACACCACCGGTCGAATTTCGGTTTTCAGGACGCGGGGTTTCAGTGCCACAGAAATGACGGACTGACCCACCGCCCCACGGCATGCCACGTCACGGGCATCGACCGGCCGAAGTGGATTGTGCAATGACACAAGTCCACATCTACTCCGCTGCCCGGCCCTGCAAGCATCTAAACAAAACGGTGTGGAAACTGTGGAAGTGGGAAATCTGTGCTTCAACAACAAGTTAGCGCAGTTTCTCCTCGAGTTGGAAAGGCACTGCACACAACAGTGCCTCCGCACGGCGAGAAGGCACGAAGCCTTTTGCAGGTGCGGCGCACAGTAGATGCTCGTGGCATGTGTCTCCCTGTTTTTCTCATTTATAGAGCAAATGGTTCATTGATTTCTTATTGTGCCGTTTCTCGGCAACAGCAGATGATTGAGCTGCTGCGCTAGCCCGAAACGGATGCGCAATGGGGTTGTGTGTTTCGCGCCCTCCACTGCTTCTCCCTCTGCGTGGATCGGACGTACTTTGCGATGGTGACAGGCGTGCGGACTATTAAATTTATTTAAGAAGACATGAGGAATAATAATAAAAAGAAAGAAAAACTTATGTAAATATAACAACGACGTCAGAAGAACAAGTTACTTTTCCACCCAATCACTCCCAATCAGAGGGTACCCTTCCCTTCTTCTTTTTATTTTTACTTTGCGTTCAGCATATACTTGCACTCACTGCAGCAGACATATTTTCCAAAACCATAAGTTATTCCGTTTTTATTTTTTCTTTGCCCTTTTTGCGGAAATATAATCATATAACTCTCATCCCTCCATCTTTCCAGTCAGCAGAAGCAGAATATGTCTATATAAATGTACGGGGGGTGGGGGAATGGGTAATCTGTTATTCTACACAGCAGTCAGATGCCTTACTTCTAATATTATTCACGTGGGTGTGTCTGTGTACATCATGCCACTCTCATCCTCCCATCTTCCCTCACTTCAATTTACTTCCTCCCCTTATCGGTGCATCAATAATAAGTGGAAAAGGGAAAAAGAATGAAATGGGGCTTCTGCACATTAATTCGTTCCTTTGGCACGGACTGTGAACCGCACCCACGCAGCAATACACATAACTGTTAACTCAAAATATAGGCTTTTGAAGCCTCTGCTATTTTACCACCCCCTCACTTTCTTCACATGGATTCACCCTATCCCTTTTCCTTTTCGCACGCTCCACTATTCCAAGGAGAACGCCTCTCAATTTTTTTTCTTTTTTTTTTTTTTTTAAATCTTTTCCTTCTTCCTTTTTGGTTTTCATCGTTATTCTACTTTATCAATCCATCACCGCAGAAACACACGTATATAAAATATTATAAAGAAATGAGCCATAACGTCGCCCTTTTCGGAAGCAAAAAAAAAAAAAAAACGATAAACGCACCGCCACCGTCGCCAAATCCCCGTGGAGGCAGCAGTACACTCGTAGCGCAATAGCAAGACCAAATAAAAGAGAGAAGGAAGGGGAGGGGGATGTCGAACAGAAAAAAAAAAAAAAAAAAAAAAAAAAAAACGGGAATAGATAAAAAGTAAAAAAAAAAGAATTTTTTTTTTTTTTTTTTTTTTACTCTCCCAACCGTGGAAGAGATTTGAGAGGCATGCACGTATACTTGAAGTCTACATATATACATGTACACTAACGGGGGGGGGGGGGGGTTGCAAAGCTGATAAAATAAACTAAAGGAAATAAAGAGGATAAGTAAGGGAAAAACATGCAAATGCGGTATGTAACGTCGGAGACCATGTGTATATGTATATATATATAGATGCACGCAAGCATCTCCCGCTCTTTCTGCTTTTTCTTCAATGTACTTTACCCGCGGTTCAATTTATTCTCCCCTCGCCCTCGCCTGGGCCTCGTAAATATCATCACAACCCACCGCACTCTTACGAGGACAAACAACCTCGTCTTTTGCACGCATTGTCTCCACCATGTTTTTTTCTTCCTTTTGTTTGCACATCCGTCTTTTGTCATCAAAATGTTTTTTTTTGTTTTTGTTTTCTCTTCTTTTCTTCCAGTCGCAGCTTCCCGCCCACAGTTGCCGACTAAACAATAATAATAATAATAAATAAATAACACAGAGAGACACAACACAGACGTTTTTCTCTGTTTCAGTTTTTTGCTTTGCTTCTTTTCAAATGACCGCTGAGCCTCTTGTCCTCCCGCCCCTCTCAGGAACAGGACACGATGACGTACTGAGATAACGCGCCACCGCCAACGCCTAACAACAGCAGCGAACTCATACGAATGTGCTTCTCCACGGAGCCTGGTTTCGTGTCTGTCTTGCCGTCTACCGCAATTTCTTTTTGGTCATCTACTGTGCTACTGCCATCGTGATCATCAAATACCCCGCCCTTTACGTTGCTGCTGCCTCCATTCTTCTCCGTGAGGAGAATAAACGTCAAGAACGACGAAAGGGCAAATTTCAATGGCACCAAAAATACTTCTTCGTTTTCCTGTCCCACCGCCTCGCTCCTCCCCTCACTCGACTGGGGCACTGCTGCTTCAGCGTCAGGAAAAAGCACTTCAAAAAGCTTCACGCCAATACAAAGCAGCGGGCCCACGGCGACCATGATCACACACACCAGCGGAGATGCCCTCGAGGCAAGTCCAAAAAGGGAGCACCGACCGTTCTCCTCCGATGCCCTCTGCGTTACGGAAGATCCAAACTGAACCACAAAAACCGCTGCGGCAGCAAATACACAATAATATACGGCAGCATTACTAAGGGGTATCGTGCTGCAAAAAACACCCCAATATGTTTTCCACATAGGAGAACAGATATTCACAAGATTGCACCTGCCAATATTGGAAAAAAAAGTTAAAAATGAGCCAACAGACGTTGAGTTATCATTACTCCTGTTCCTCGCATCGGCTGTGGGGGAAAGTGTTTCCCCCTTGGATGGGGCGGCAGGGGTGGGCACCGGAGATGGAATCGACAAGTAGACATTGTCTTCAAACTGTTGGCTAAGTATTTCCTCCGCGGCAGTGGTACTCGAACGTGTCCTGTCACGCAACAAGAAATCGCAGTTCACTGAATGTTCATCACTAAAAAGACTTGAAGTACTGTGGGCTTCGTTCCATCGCACATCCAAATTTCGCAAAGAACTAACATGTGCGGAATTATCGGTTCGGTTTATCGGTTTGTTGACCGCCTGTTCGGTACTTTGCAGACGGATTCTTTTTCCCTCCGCGCATTGAATTTTTGTATCCCGTGCAGAGCTGAAGTCCCCACTCGCTGCCGGTGTTGGGAGTAGTTTTTCCGAGCCTCCCACAATCACCCAGCCGTCCGCAGTATCCGCTGTGACAGGAGAAGCGGATGCAGATCTTGTCCCTTTCAATTTCCTCTGGGGCATGCGGTTTCTTCTCGCTACAGATGTGGTTGTGGTATGTCGTCGTGGAAAAGCCTCCGCTGCAGGGATATATATATATATAGACAGTTTTAACTTTCTTGGAGAGATACGCCTTGGCTTTGCTCTCTTTCTCTCTCTCTCCCCCCTTTCCTTTTTTTTTCTTCTTTCTGGTGATTTTCAAATGATGCTTCAAAACACCCTTGAAAGATAGAGACATATTGCAAGAAAAAAGAAAAGGGGGGTACACACACAAACACAGCAGAATAAAAAATAAAACTTCCCTGACCAAGACCCGATTTCTGTTACCCTTTTTTTTTTTTTTTTAATTCCCTCCTCTTAAATTTACTTTCTTCATTTTTTGATTATTTGTGGCCCGGTCAATTATGGAACCCACTCCCTTCTCCCACCACCACCTCCCTCTACAGCTCTGCCACAAACCGTGTTTTCCCCTGATAGCCCCGCCAAAAAAAAAAAAAGAAAAAAAATAATAATAATAAAATAATTACCAATAGCCATGTATCAATAACAAGGTATTTTAATTCACCTATTGGCCTTTGAATGAGTAGTAAAGATCAAATTCATAGTGATAATATCGCGCTTGAAATAAACTGTTCTCAAGATCAATTTGCCGTGGAGTTGCAATAAAGCAGAACTTTGCCTGTGGACATGCGATTCTCCAAGTAACGGTGCGCTTCCGCAGCATCTGCGAGGGAGAACTCTCGGCTGTACGTCACTTGAAGTTTCTTGGAAGTGAACCAGTTCCAAATATCTGCAAAGCGTCGTGCCTTTTCTTTAGGATCCCGAATGTAATCGGCAAGGAATGGCCGCTGTAAGTACACACTTCCAGCGTCCTTAAGACGTAGCGGAGACACCGCTTCCACAGCACCACTTGCATTACCAAATGAAATCATAAATCCACGTGGACGCAGCACAGAGAGACTTCCCTCAAAAGTTGACTTTCCCACGCCATCGTAGACGGCATCAAAGCCGCCAGGCACCAACCCACGCATTTCTAACGTCCAGTCTGGAGAGGCCAGATAATCCACAACATGATCCGCATGGCCAACGGTGCGTGCGAGTTCTGCCTTCTTTTCACCGCCACAGACACCAACAACAAACGCACCACGAAGTTTTGCCATTTGGCACACAAGCAACCCCGTACCACCTGCAGCAGCGTGGACGAGGACTCGCGATTGAGGTCCGCAGGGGTAGCTGTCGTGCGTCAGGTAGTGCGCTGTCAATCCTTGGCAAAGAAGCGCCGCAGCTGCCTTGTCGTCTACGCCATCCGGCAACACATTCGCATTGGCCATCTTTACAACACAATACGTCGCGTAGGAGCCAGTGACATTACCAAAGTATGCCACGCGCTGGCCAATGTTAGGTGACACCACGTTTACCCCTTTCTTCACAACAGTCCCCACGCCCTCCTCGCCTGGAACAAACGGCAGATTGGGCTTTTTGTAAAGACCTGAGCGGAAGTAAGTGTCAACAAAATTAACGCCTGCGTAACTGTTATGTACAAGCACCTCGTCGTCTCCAAGCACAATGGTTTCGGGATCGCAACTGCAAGGAGAGGTAACACGAAGCACATCCGCAGGGCCGTAGCTTGGAACCTCAACCTGCATTTCACACGTGAGGGCAGTCTCAGTAAATCAATGATTGCAATCCAAATTTTTCCTTGCTGCTTTTCTGTTTCTTTGTTTAAATATGACTTTGTGGGCAATTGTGTTTTCCTTCAATGGGAGCACAGTAGGGAAGCAACACCGATATTTTGTCTTCCGCGCACAACATGCAAAACGCAATGTTAGATCAATTATCCATGAAAAACGCACGCGCAAACGCACCAAAAGACTCACGCGGAGGTAAACCAACCAACCAGCAAAGGCATTGTAAAGATAACGCGGGACACACACACAAAAAAAAAAAAAAAAGAAGAAAAAAAGCCAAAATAAAAACTACATTGGCTACTGCGGACCAATACACATATGCATGAAGTACGTCCACTGTTTTTTTTTTTTTTTACCATTTTGGGTTCTAATCTTTTTTTTTTTTTTTTTTGAGTTCCCTTTCGGTTCGTTTTTGTTGTTGTTAATTGTTCAAATGTACAAAGGCTCTTTTCGTAAGAATAGCAAGACAAAGGCCAGTGCGTACCACTGCGAGAATTCATTAAGTGCCACCTCAACGTAATAGTCCTCCACATGCATGAGAGTGTTGGAGAAGGCAACAAAAAGTATTTGCGGCACAATAATACCCAACGCATAAGGTATACACATTCCACGGTAACGCAGATAAAGTGATGTCTGGCTCTCTGATGTGGTGAGCCTTCCTTGTTTTGACCCTGTTGCAGCAGCACGGCCAATGGTTGCCATAAGTGTTGTAAGCTGAAAAAGATTTATCAGCCAACCCAACATTTCACAGGCTATAGCAATCGTCTGAATCTTCACACATCGAGCGGTCGTGTATTCTCTGCGTCCATCAGAAGCAGTAAACCTTGTTGGAATACTGTCCTCATCACAGGTGCCTTGAAATACATAGGCAAAGAAGGTAGTAATGGATACCAATGAGACCGTTACAATCTTTATCGTCGGCGGTCGCTCGTATGCACAACCCCAACCGATGCATACAAGCTGTTGCATCACAAATACTGCCGTACGGGTACACACAGATAGCAAAATAGAAAGAATATCAATGCTACCGTTTGGTTTTGCCACTGAGGAGCCTGAAAGTATACGATACTGTATTAAACGCAGTAGACAAACACCTCCTCGTAAAATAAGACATGTCAGGACAAGCCATTGCAATGGCGGATATAAAATCAACAAGTATTGACTGCAAATATTTCTTATTTTTTTCCGAAAAGCGTCGCAACATGCTGTGGAACATCTTCGCCTGGAGTCTGAGTTCGTGGCCGCCGAATTTTCATTCTCGGCTTCTGGTGTTGTCTCCCAAACATTTTCTAATGACGTCAAATTCAACCCACTTCTTTCATTTTGTCCATCTGTTGAGGGTCTCGCTTTTCCTCTCTCCGCCTCATTGATATTGCCACGCCTAGAGCCACCACACTCAGTTGAAGAATTTGTGTGACCAACACCTCCGCTGCTTTCGCTGAGGCGTTCTAAAGATGTGGTCTCAGAATGTTTTTTAGACAAAGATCCACATGGTAAAATGAGAAATAACAAAATTCCAAATAATACAATGTATGCTACCAGGTAAAATAGGTAAATTTTCTCTGTAGAAATGTACTCCGAGCTTCCTTTTCCATCTGCATTTGACATGCGAACCTGAATATTCACCTTCATGGGTATATGGCTACACTGCGCGAGTACAGCAATGACGTGGGACCGGGTTTGCAGCTGCCGAATGCCATTGGAAGCTTGGTATGCACCAAAACTGTCAATGTGAATAGTGAAGAGAGCTGGAAAACTGCATATTGCTCCTCCAATCCCACTTGGTGAATCCCAATCGACGCCTGACTTTCCCGTGGATTTTTCCTCTTTCTTTGAGCCGGTGTAACTGGACATCGCTTCCATTTCATTCAACAAATTCTGCCAATTACGATATTCAAAAACTTTTAACACCAAAACTGTCTCCAATGCCATATAAGTTCTATCCACAAAATGTGTTAAATCTTGACTGGAATGATTTATCGTTGCCTCTTTTCCATGAAATATACCCAGTTGACTTTCACGGTACAGTCGAGGCTGTGTCGTTAACAAACATACGCTGAATGGAGAGATAACTCCTGGTTCTGTCTCTGATATAAGCTGTTTAACGTACGTCCTATAGCTGTTCACATCGTAGTGGATAGAGAGCACCTGCACTTCAATTTCTCCCTCAGTAACCATAAAAAAAGGTCGATTTTTCTCGTTCAGTACAAACCACTGTTTCTGCAGCCCACACTGGAACGACCCCTCCGGTGTGCTCGGTAGCGACCCCAACTCAAACTCAAATTCCCCGTGACCAGGAGAATTCCCCGCCACCGCCGCCGAAAAAGAGAAAAAAAAACTAAATAAAATAATAACGAAAAAAAGGTTGGCGCCACCCATCATGCACACCATGGGCATCCGTGTTCGCTTCCGAGGCAGCCAAAAAAAAAAAAAAAAAAGAAAAGAAAAGAAATACCTATGCGTTCATATACATATATACATGTGTGTATACGTGTATGTATAACTGTAATATCGATATGAAAAAGCAAGAAGAAAAAAAAAAAGGGTACTGCGATAGAATCAATGGAGAGAATAGTCGAGTGAATCAAGAATAAGCAGTGAGCATGACAAAATAAAGACAACAACAAAAAAGAAAACATATTTCAAAGGTGCAGCCCCAGTGGGACGGGGGGAAAAAAAAGAAGAAGAAAAAGAAGCCGCAAAAGAAGGAAAGAAAAACACAACTATGTATATATATATTACATATATATATACAAAAGAAAACCGAACAGGGACACACACACACACACAAAAGGAAAGAGAGACAAAAAAAAAAAAAAAGGGGGGGGGGGGGAAGGAAAGGGAAGAAAACAAGAAAAATGGCAAAAGAAAGAAAAAAAAAAGGTAGGAAACACTGGAAACAAGGGTTTCGTAAAGAAAGAAGAAGGAGTCATATATTGCCGCGTGAACATCAAAAACAACAACAAAAAACAAAAGTGTTCAAAGTGCAAGTCAACAGCACAAAAACAACAATTAATAGAAGCAACGCAAAAATAAACACTTCCGACACAAAAAACAACAACAACAAAAAGAACGTCAATAATGCAGAAGGACATCCTCATATCTTTCACATGACCCTTTTTTCCTCATCGGTTTCCCGCCTTTATCTTCGCCCTCCTCCTTGGATCCCCCCCCGCGCCCCAATCTCCCTTAAAATCTCAAATCCCCTAGCGCTGGTACAAATATAAAAGTGCCGTCCCTCCATCCTTGAGCGTTTCTTCTTCTTCTTCCCAATCTCAATTCACTCCACTCCTTGCATCGCTTCCCACATCGCATGACTTCTCACCTCTCTCTTTC